TCTATCTATCTATCTATCTATCTATCTATCTATCTAATCTATATATAAAATTTTTTACACTATTACTGTTGCTTTCTTTACCACATCTACCACTAGAAATAGACATGCTCACAAATTCCAAAACGAACTTTGAATATTTATCTCTGTGCTTTGACTTTCCACTTAGTTTAGTGGGAGAGAGAAGGTGCTGCTAATAAATCTATACATACCCAATTTAATAGGCTTTCCAGTTTTTTACTCAAAAAATTTTACTTTGCACACCTGGCCTGAATTTAACTATGGTTAAATAGTTAAAGCTTGCATATTTTCACTGTAGACATGTAGGCTATATTTTCTTCTTAAAAACATGCATCTGAGATAGAAAAACCAAATGGTAACATTAATAATTACTGGAAATAAAATTGCATTTTTTCAGTGACTAGTGACTAAGATAATCGGGATGCGAGTGTCAGAGACAGTGCGACCGGCACAGGACAGAGCAGAGTTTAGGGCTGTTGTACATATGGTCGCTATGAGTCGCAAAAGACTCAATGGCACATAACAACAACAACACAGTGTAATGTTAACTATAAATTAAATTAACACAGTTTTCTACTTTCTCATGAGCAAAACAGAAAAGCATATGGAAATATGTCTTACCTCCAGGAGTCAGAAGGAAAAACATGGCAATAGGAAAGGAGAAAACAAAGGAAGTTTCCATTGCTTCTGTTATCCACATTCAGATACCAGGTATTTTCAGGTGTTGACATGACTACTATATAATGAAACCCAAAGGATGTGGTTTCTTCTTTCTTTTGCTTTCTCTTCTGTGCTGCTAAAGAACGTCACATTTTATTACTGGAAGATGCTGTTTTATTTTGGCTACTGTGTGGTTACATATTTATTCCACAGCTGTGGTTATTTCTTTCTGAGTTACACGCCTTCTATGTGAAAGGGTGCATGTGAAACCACAGGAGCTGTGTGTGAATCACAATTTAAGAGCAAATTGTTCTTTGTTTGACAATTTTTTCTTTTTTCTAAAATACATTTGTTTAAAAAGCTGATAATGGTTTGCAATCCTGAAGGTGTGTGGTTTGAATCCACCAAATGCTCCGCTGGAGAAGGAGAGGCAATCTCCTTCTGTGCCAGTTAGATCCGATTCAATGATACACAGCTAGTAGAAAATTAAAAGTAAAAAGGGTGGGTGGGGGGCGGTGGGAAGAAAGACAGAAAAAACCAACCAACCAACCAACCAAAGCTGAGAATGCAAGTGTATATAGGAATTGGTCTTGAAATATCATCTTTAACTTATTCTGATAGGGAGAAAATTGATACTGAATATATTAATTGTTGAGACTACTGGGTGATCACTGAGAAAAACTGAACTTAGATTCTTAATTCATAGTATCCAAATATAAACTCATTAAGTAAAAAATACAAATAAATGCATTTAATTATGTAAAGGAAGGTCTGAGAAAGGGGCTTTGAAGTACACCATCAAAGACAGAAATCATAAAGGAAAAGACTGATGAATTCACCTAAGAGAAAGAGAAAACTTCTGTATTTTAAATATCAAACATGAAAGTCAATTGGAAAGCATTTTCAAGATGTGTAACACAAGTGGACTTTGTATAAAAAAATGAGAACTCCAGCCACAATAACAAAGTTCAACAGGACAGCAAACAACAGATGCTGGCGAGCATGTAGAGAGATTAGAACACTCATGCACTGCAGGTGGGAATGTAAAATGGTACAACCAGCTATAGAAGGTGATCTGCCGTTTCCTCCAAAAGTTGAAAATAGAAATTCCACTATTGGGAATATACTCAAAAGGAATCAGAGTTATGACACAAACAGATATATGGACAACTATGCTTAATGTGGCATTATTCACAAGAGCAAAGATGGAAGCTGCCTGTCCATCAATAATTGAATGACTAGAGAATCTAGAATACATTCACATGGTGGAGTACTGATCAGCAGTGAGAAAAAATGGACTTGTAAAATGCACAACTTGGACGAGAAGCGAAGACATTACCCTGGGTGAGATATCCCAGTCAGAAAGGACAAACCCTACATAAGACCACTACGATTGGTGGGGGTGAGGGGGAGGAAGAGCCGGAAAGGAATGGATAGAAAACACACACTGCCTTTGAATGGATGAAAGGAAAGATAATCTGACAGCAGTGGATCATTAGACATTATTTATGTGTGTGACAAATAATAGCTTGGAACAGGACAAACATTACAAAAGGAATTGGTGGAAGGAGAGAGAGGAAATATATGCATGCATAGATGAGTGAAAACCAATCTCTTTGTGAACTTTTAGTAAAATAAAAGTATTTTTAAAAAAGAAATAAAAAGATGAGTCCTTGAAAAGAAAGATGGTCAGAAAATTGGAACAAAACTTTTACAAAAGTAGACATTAAAATACTGTATTCCTAGTCTGTAGAGAAGTGCTTAAAGACAACTAACTCAATGTTATCAATAATAAAAATGCAACTTAAAATATCCAGGCATAATTATAGCCTTTCAAATAGTTAAATAGCTTAAAAAAGTATACATTGTGTTGTTGGAAATTCTTATGTTGATCAAATTCCAAATTACCATCTCTTTTAGAAGTTAAGAAAAGTGATAAAAAAAATGTTGGCAAGAATGTCAAGAGATTGGAATTCTCATTCACTGCTGGTGGGAATGTAAAATGATACAAACACTTTGGAAAGTGGTCTGGTACTTTCTCAGAAAGTTGGGGAGAAATGTCATCTCACTCAACTATTTCATTCCTGGCAATATACCCTTAAGAAATCAGAGCCATGATGCAAACAAATGTATGCACAACTAGTATTAGTCACAAAAGCAAAGAGATGGAAGCAGGACACATGCCCAACAACAAAAAAATGGATAGAAAAACTATGGAACATTGACACAATGCAATCTTACACATAACATTGAGAAACAATAAACTTGTATAACCCTCCCCCCCAAAAAAAAAAAAACAGAAAAAGAAAGGTGATCCCGCAGAGTGTGGAAACT